CCACGGTCCAATGGGAGCAATTGCAACGATCGCAACTAAGGATAGCAATCATGGTCATACCTCAACTCTGAGTTTCTTTAACCTCCCAGGGTGACTTGGGGGAAAGCTTACAGAGAAAATTGATCTTCCACTCAAGAATTCACACACATTTAGTTTTGTGACATTATGTTCAATCCCATTTCCTCCCTGTGTCTCCCGTCATTTCCATTTGACCTTCTTTCCTGTCCCTTCCTGCCTTCTGAGCTCCATCACACCTAAGCCAATGTCGCCCTTTTGGCCGGATGTGGTTGACTGTTCTAGGGAGTGTGTACCCCCGTCTTTTTGTTGAGATAGCTCAACTTTAATGGAGCCACTACTGTATGTCAGGTGCGAGCTCTCTGAGCCTTCTACAGGACACTGACCTATGAGCCGAGTGTCGTTCTAATCCCTGACTTTGGGAGCCCTGGATGGCGCAGTGGTTACGTGTTGTGCTGCGATCTGCCTGGTGGGCAGTTGGGAGGGCGCTCCACCAGCAGCTCCCTGGGAGAATGACTGGGCTTTCGACTCCTGTCAACAGTTCCGGTCTCAGAAACCCACGATGAGTCAGCAGGGGCTCGATGGCCATGGGTCTGGTTTGTTTTTCACGTGGCTAATGGATTGGAACGTGCACAAGACAGAGGAAATGGCCCGATAGTAAGGCCTTAGAAAAGACAAGCTGCTGGGAACGGGCTTGGAATGGACTTTGCACCAACATTTGCCATCTGAGGTTCTGGTTTTACTGGGATTGGATCAGTGAACAGTCGATACTTGAAAGAAAATCATAATGCAGACGATGCAAAATTATTTCGTCAGTAGTGTTTTATTGTATTTTAGGTGAACGCTTACCCAGCACTTTAGCGTCCCATGTATCAGCATGTACATAAGTTGTCCAATGGCATTAGTTCTAGGTTCACACTGTGTCGGCATTCTCTTTGTGCGCTGGTGGCTCCTTTTCCAGGGCTCTAGCTTCCCTGCCCCTCCCCCTTTCTTCTCATCTCTGCTCTAGTCATTCCCATTTCAGTGAGTTTCTCAGGGAGTCACATCTTCACAGGTAATGGACTTTAGTTTGTGTGTCAACTTATTATTTCACTAAAAGTGACCTTGGCAGGTAGACTAACGTTAAGGTTTAAAGTGTATCTCAGGGGATAGTCTTTTGGAATAGGCTAGTGAGTTTGTCCATTTAGTCTGGACTTGTTAAGAACGAAAGTTCTGTTTTGCCCTTTTCCCCCGTTCTTTCTGGGTCCGGATTGGGACAATCAGTAGTGGTATCTAGATACCAGCTAGTTCTGTATCGGGATAGAGGAAGGTGTAATGAAGCTGTGATGTGGCAGTGGACACTGTATAATAGCTTATGCAGGCTATCAGCACTACATGCAATATCATTGTTTCAGGCAGGCCTTGATGGGGTTGCGTATGAAGGTCTCGTGCTGGTAAGAGAGTCAACAGCATCATGGAGACCCAGTAGTGTCAGAGGTCTGAAAACAGGGGATTGAGTCAGAGGAAAGAGACAGTTTGCTTTCTACAGCCTGTCAGGAAGACCAAGAAACCTGAAGGTCAGCTTTTCTCTCCTTTTATTTTCCCAAAAATAAAAACAAAAATACTGAAAAATGAAATAACTTTAAAATGGGTCAAAAGGGAGATCAAATGATAAGGTGGTGCATTTGAACCCAACTTCATCTACCACAATGCACTTTACAATGCTCTCTGTCTGATAGCAAGCTACTCACGTCCCTCGGCTATGGTCAGAGGGCATTCACGGGAGGTTTAATCCATGTGGGGACCCTGCAAATGGATTTTGGGCTTCCACTGTCATCCACCGCCTGCTTCACACTGGGTGCTCAGGATTTAAGCTCTAATACCATTTCCTCCTTTGGATTCGGATTTTATTATTCACAAATCCTTGCATCACACAGGCCTGTGTGCTTCTTTCATATGGACTTAGTTGACACCTCATTTAGATGGCTGCTTGTTTGAAGACAAGCGTCTAAGACCCCAGACCCTATTCTTTCCAATAGCCGGGTGCCATCTGATTTCTTCACCACCCTTTGCTGTACAGCACCTATATCATCAGGGATCTCTTCATGAGGGTGAGTCATAAGGTCATGTCATGAGAATTAAGTGTTCTTAGATTGGGGCTAGAATTAACTGCAAGCCCCAAATCCATTCATTTATCTATGGTTTATATATGTCTCTGGTTCGGTTTAGATGCATGATTATCATTGTATGATGGAGAACATTATAAATCATCTCCCTAGGGCATACACTAATTCTACTGACAGTAACAATGGTATAGAATGTACGACATTGTTTAGAAAAGAAAATTATGCCTATACAGGCCAGCTTGTCAGACTCCAGTATGTGACTTATTCACCTGTACAGACGAAATACTTAAGTGACTAGGCCCTATTTATGCAGACAATGGGGCATTGGTGATAAGGCAAAACATTCAATGACACTCATTCACAAAGGCAGAAGCATACCTAACATATGTCATAGGAAAGCAAGGAGTACATTAAAATAGTAACTATCTTGTCATCCAGAACCACCACTCATTGCTGCTGTTAGGTGCCATCTAACCAGTTGTGATTCATAGTGACCACATACACAACGGCAGACAATACCACCCAGGTCTGCACCATCCACACAATCGGTCTTATGTGTGAGCCCAGTGTGGCAGCCTCTGCGTCAGTCCATCGCATGGAGGGCTGCCCTCTCTTTCACTGCCCCTCTGGTCTACCAAGACTGTCCTTCTCCGGGGAATGGTGAGAACAAACCACCGCGGGGTGTTATGAACAGTCTCTCTGGGAGGTCTGCACCCAGAGGAATGGCGGGGACGACGCGGGTCTCCTATAGGTGGAGATCTCAGGAGGGTGTCTGCCTGTAGCCATCTCCCTCCCTTTGGCTGCATGAATCCGGAAAGGCGGTCTCCCTGCGCCTGTGTGACCCTCTGGACCATAGGAAGCCTCATTCCTTGCTTGCTTTACATCCCCAGGGGGCCTGGACACAAATGGCAGCTGGACGGAGTGGAACAATAGGGTCGGGGGCCAGGTTTTCTAGCATGTAAAGCGTTATGTCGCTGTGAGGTTTGTTGGAAGAGCTGTGGAAACACTCGGGCAGTAAAGACACTGTCAATACCAAAAGAATTTCCAGGGGAAAATACTCCTCCTCCTCCTCCTCCTCCTCTTCCTCTTCCTTCCCTCCGTCCTTGTTTCAGAGTCACACCCAGACCAGTGACCATGGGTGTCTCAGTAGATCTGCACTCCCAGGGGGTTTCAAGGTTGACCTTTGGGAAGCAGATCAGCAGGCCTTTCTGCTGAGGCTCCTGTGAATACCTTCAAACTGTGAACCTGTGGTTAGCCATTGAGCTAAGCATTTGGGTGACCCAGGTACTCCTGTTTCTGACCGGGAGCAGTGAAAATGAGGACCAGACTCTGGGCTCCCCACAAACAGCGCCTGGCCAGCCCCTACATGAGAGGGAGAAAGTTCCTGCCGGCCAGGAAGAGCCTAGGTAGGGGGAGGGCTGCAGAGAGCCAAGGTTCTGGGACCCACCCAGCTCAATGCTTGGCCCAACATCCAGCCCAAAGCCCAGTCAACCCGGAGGGGCAGGGGAGCAGCCCAGAGCAGGTTGCTTAGACCCAAACCTGGCCCGGAGGATGCTCAAGTCCTTCTCTCAGGGAGTTAGCTCTGGGCAGTGAGGGGCTGAAACCTTAAAGAAACAGGATCCTTTACAGACAGACCACCGAGCCGACCTGAGTCTCCCACTGGACTGGAATGAATTGAAGAGGATGTTTCCAGATGCGGAGACTGTCCTGGAAGTTTGTCGCCAGAGGGGATGATGGAGTTGATTGGAGAGGTGAGCAGAAATGTTGACCTAGTGATTCATTCATTTCTCCAACAAACACCTGTGTGAAATGTCTGTAAAATTCAAGACCTGCTGAGGCACTGGGGTGAGGGGAGGGGGGTGGGTTGAGGGGTAGAGACTGTTAGACAAGTTCCTGACCTCAATATACAACCCAGTTTTTAAAAGGGGGAGGTGTTAGAGGGCTTGTGTATAAATAATCATAGAATCTTTAAAGAAAGCTGCATGCAGATATGTACAATCCGTGGGTGAGATGGCTCTGGTCCTGTGTGCGGGGTGGGGCTGCAGGCAGACACCAGGCAGAGAGACAAGCGCAGAGGGAAAGGGAAGTGACGCAGGGACTGGCTGTCAAACTACCTGGCTGAGGAGCTAGGCGTCCAAGGGAGAGGAAGACAAAGAGAGGCCGGGCTGTGAATGCTGAGCTACGGGGACATGATCATGTTGGAAATCTACATGCAGTGCTGGTGGGACTGTAAAGTGGCACAGCCAGGGTGTAAAACATACAGAGCTTCCTTACAAAGTTAGAAATGCAGGTACTATATGATCGAGCAATCCCAATACTTGCTATATATCCAGAACAAATCAAAGCTAGGGCATGAAGAGCCATATGTAATACATGTCTGTATACCGTGTTCATTGCAGCACTATTCACAAAAGCAGTAAAAGAAAAATAGTGTAAACAATTTAAATATCCATAAATAAAAGACTGGATTAAAAAAAAGTGGTAAGTGCCCCAAATGGAATACTATGGAGTGACCAAGAATAACAAAAGATCCATGAGATACGTATTTCACAACAAGGTTGAACCGGAGGACATTAAGCTAAATGTCAATCGCAAAGGGACCAATATTGTATGAGATCACTACCAGGAAGAAACAAGAAAAGGTTTCACATTAGTGGAAACATTCTTTTATGGGTTCCAGGAGTGGGAGGGGAAGGGAGGATAAATCACTAATTATAAGGTAGACACATATCGGGTGTAGGAGAAGGCAGAAACATAAATAAATAAAAAGAAAGATTATTTTGAAGAAAGGATGGGATGAGGCTGGCAGGGGAGAAGGCATATGGGGGTGGGGGGAAGGTCATGACGTAGAAGTTTTCCAGGAAGTGGGAGGGGGCTCCTTCAGTGTTTGAAATGAGGCCAGGTCTTAATGATGTTGTACAAAGCCTTCCCAGGAGACAGGATGTTGACGACATCACTGTGACCCACCAGGAGGTAGTTGGGGACCAAGTAGCCCTTTTGCACAGCGCACTGGATCAGGTCCTGGGCGGCATCCAGGGCAGCGTTGTTGGGCGGCTTTTCTGTGGAACACATTCACTCATCAGTCTTTGGGGTCTAGACGGTCTTCGCTGAAAGCAGAAAGATGCCTAGAATCCAGTCTTCCTCCTCCTGTCCCCCAACCACTACCACCACCACAGCCAGGAAATTTACATTCACAGTGGCAACCGGCCCCTAAGAGAACATAGGGTCACTGTGTTCCCTAAATCCCCCTTGCCAATGTTTCTTTCAGAAACTAGTCTGGAAAAGAGCTGCAGACAACATGATCTATGTAGGTGGGAGAGCTCTGGCACACACTCCCCCACCCGACCCAGCATCGCCACTGCCCACTGCTCTGCCGCCTTCCTGAGCGGGTGCTCCCCAGCATAATGCCCATGGTTAGCAAGAGGGGGCATTTGCAGACACAGCCATGAAAGCACTTGGGTTTGCCAATGACCTCTGTGCTCCTCTCTTGCTCCGTGCTAGCCTTCGATGTGGATGGAGAGATAGAGGACCTTGGGTATGGGAGAGGATGCCGGGGACACTCATCGTGTATTGAGAGTTCAGTTTTAAGGGAAGATGTTCACAGACACATCTTAGCATGTCCCCCAGGTGCTGACAGTCACCACCCTGAGCCTTTTCCTCCATGCGTCCCACACAGCCCGTGTGAAAAGTCATTACTCAAACCCCCTCTGGCCCCGGCTCACATCTTACCCACAAAGTTGCCCATGAAGGCCACCCCCAGGGCGATGTCGTTGTATCCATAGGTATGAGAGCCGAGGGTGTGCCAGCCGACCCCTTCATACACACCACCATCATGGCCCACCAGGAAGCTGGGGTTGGGCAAAAGAAAATGGGAGAATGTGTCAGTGGGAAGCAGAATTCATTTCACCCTTTCCTTCAATCATTCATTCTTTCATCCATTCCTCATCTTTCGGTTTGCCATCTTCCATGCATCAGTGTGCACAGAGATGAGAAAGCCAACGAATAAACCCACCCAAGAGCTGGGGGCAGGTGGGCAGCACTCACAGTGATTTCAGTCCCCTGCAGCATGGTCTCCGTCTGTCCCAGTCTACTCAATCTGACTCGGCCTAGGAGGCAGGTGACCTCCTAGGGAGGCTGGACCCCCGCACATGACTTCTGAGCTACTCTAAACTTGTTGGTCACTTTCTTCCTGAAAGGGTCTCCTCCCTTGGCCTCTCCTGATTTCCCTTTCTCTGCTGCTCCACCTCCGGCTCTTCTGCCACCCACCTGCCTGGACCTTCTCTAGGCCTTTCTCTTCCCACTAGGTACGCTCTCCCTGGACAATCCACCCAAGCCCAGAGCTTCAACTACTTAGGATGCAAAGCGCTATCTTCAAAATTACAGCCATCTTCTTCTCCAATGTCCCCCAGCCATACAACTGATACAATTGATGTCTGGATTGTTACAGAGCTGTAAGAGCCCCAAATAAAATGATTTATTAAAAAAAAACACAACTAAGCATCATCCTGAAGCTCTCCCCCAACACCCCTGACCTAGCCTTATCCAACCATGAGTTATGGCTGCTCCTTGCATATCTTTTAAATCCCTCCACTTCTCTCTATGACAAACCCCGCTACCCTGGTCTAAGTCAGCTGTATCTGTTATCTAAATTACTACAAGCGCTCTCTGCCCATAGTTTTGCCACCTTCTAAACATACTTGAAATAGTAAAACAGACGATAAAAAGCATGCCACCCCCTAAAAAATAAGGAGATTTGCAAGATTTACCCCCAGAAGCAGTGACCATGCTAGATTACATGGCCAGGGGGAATTAAAGTTGCAGACAGAAATAAGATCATTAGCCACCTGCTGGGTTTTTGTTTATTAATATTAATTGGGGTTAGCACATGTGTCACCATTCCATAGTTCAATCACGTCCAGCAGAATTGTACATTTGCTATCACAGTTTCCAAACATTTTTTTTTTTCTGTGTGGACCCCTTGAGGTCCTTACCCCTTCACCTGGCCTTAAAATGAGGAGATTATCTTGGGTGACCCATATTGACTCAGTGGAAGGAGGAGGCAGAAGCGAGAGAAGCCGAGAGACTGGAGGGTGAGACCGTTGTTTCCTGGTGGTGGAGGATCTCCACGTCCCACAAAGAGTTGCCATCTCAGAAACCCCGGGGGCAGGTCTAGCCTGTTGTGTAGGATCACTGGGAGTCAGAATTGACGCGATGGGAATAAGTTGGAGTTGGAGTTGGCCCTTCCTTCCATTCCCCACCCCCACCCCACCCCCAAATCAGCCCATTGCTGTCCGTCGCTTGTGCCTAGTGGCAGCTCGATATGTTACAGGGAAAGATTGCTCCAGAGAGCTGTCTCAGCTGCACGCTCTATGGAAGTAGATTGCCAGGCCCCTTTTCCACTCGGTTGCTGGGTAGGTTAGAACTGCCCACCCATCCATTAGTGGCCGAGTGCAAAGCACTTGCACCACCTAGGGACCTGACTTTAGCCCAAACTCGCGGCCATTGAGTCAGCTCCAACACAGAGTGACTGGCCCTCTAGGACCAAATAGCCTAGGCCCTGTGAGTGTCCAAGCCTGTCACTGTTTATGGGAGCAGAAAGCTTTCCCTTTCTCCCACAGAGTGGCTGCTGGTTTCGAACCGCTGACCTCATGAGTAGCAGGCCGATGCAGAGCCCACAATAACACCCAGGCTCCTGACTTCAGCCCAAGGGGACCCATTTTACTGACTTCTGACCTCTAACACTGTCAGGTGATAAACATGTTGTTGTTCTGTGCCACCACCTCTGTGGGTTTTCAAAGACTGCAATTCTTCTTTTTCTTAATCATTTTATTGGGGGCTCATACAATTCTTATCACAATCCATCCATCCATCCATACATTGTGTCAAGCACATTTGTATATATGTTGCCATCATCATTTTCAAAATATTTTGTTCCTACTTCAGCCCTTGGTATCAGCTCATTTCCCCCCTCCCCACCCTCCCTTCCTTATGAACCCTTGATAATTTATAATTTTTAAAAATTTCTTACACCAACCGCTGTTTCCCTTTGCCACTTTTCTGTTGTCTGTCCCCCAGGGAGGGGGGTTATATCTAGATCATTGTGATCAGTTCCCCCCTCTCCTCCACCTTCCCCTTACCCTCCTGGTATCACTACTTTCATTATTAGTCCAGAGGGATTATCTGTCCTAGATTCCCTGTGTTCCCAGCTCTTATCTGTACCCATTTTGTAAGGTAGAATTGGGATCATGATCTTGGGGAGGGGGGGCGGGGGGGAGAAACATTAAAGAACTAGAGGAAAGTTGGATGTCTCATTGGTGCTACAGTGCACCCTGACTGGCTCGTCTCTTCCTTGTGACCCTTCTGTAAGGGGATGTCCAACTGTCTACAGATGAGTTCTGAGCCTCCACTCTGTACTCCCCCTAATTCATATTGATATGACTTTTTGTTGTTTTGGGTCTTTGATGCCTGATACCTGATCACATTGACACCTCTTGATCACACAATGGGAGTAGAAACCTCATCTTTTTCCCACGGAGCAACTGGCGGTTTTGAACTGCTGACCTTGCAGTTATCAGCCCAACTCATAACCACTATGCCACCAGGGCTCTGGGCAAAGGTAAGGCTTGGTAAATATCAGTTCCCACCCTTAGCCTTCCTTTCTACCGTCCAGTTTCTGCCCTGACAAACAGGGTCGTGCTTTCGCCAGTCTACTTACTGATAGCCAATGTCACAGAAGTGCCTCTGGTCGATGTGAAAGGACTGTATATCTCGGACACGAATCTGGCAGTCCGCAGACACATTGCAGCTTGTCCCAGCGGTGTGAATGATAATGACATACTTGGCCGGGAGGGTCATCTTAGGGCAGTGTGTCTCTCTGGCTCCCCACACAGACCGAGGGATGAAGTTGGGGCAAGCTACAGGAAGGTAAAAAATCAAGGAAGTAGAGATTTTACATTGACAACAAGGACTGACCCTCCCCAGCCCAAAAAAAGGGAAAGCCGCTAAAACTGTGCTTGTACAAACAAAAGCCTCATGGGACTGATTACACGGTTTGGAGAGTTCCCAGGATATTCCAATGGATTGGTCTAAGAGGGTGCTTCGTGCCTCCCTTCCATTTCCTAGTTTGTCGCAGAGTGACTTGGGTCTTAAAGGCTTGCGTGTGGCCAACCAAAGGATGACAATTGGTCTCTATCTGCCTGGAGCAACAGAGGCATGAGAGTCGGGGAGAGGACTACATGGCATGTGTGACTAATGTTCTCCACAAGACCAGAAGACCTACCTGAAATCAGTTACCATGACTGAAAACGTGGACCAAAGAGTCGCTGGAAGCATCCCAGTCAGAGGCAGAGAATGCAGAACAGAATTTCAAATTCTCATGTGTGCCAGCCTTTCTAGAAGAGTGCTGGACGAACCCCTGAAACTACAGCCCTAAGATAATGCTTCAAATTTAAACCAAAATTATTCCTTGAAGTCTTCCTAAAACCAAACAGATCAGAACATCTGCCTTGAGCATTGTGCCTTTTCAGAACTATCTCAACGGGGTCAACGTGGCAACAGTAACTCAAAGATGAGATGGGGACCTTGGGGGGCAGTGAGTGGATGATATAGGGGAGGAAGAACTCCGAAAAGCCAAGCGAGTATGGATGCACAACTGAAAGACTGTAACCAGTGAAGTGTACAACCAGAAATGAGCGAATCGCTGTATGCATTGCTCTGTATCTTTTCAACAACAAAAACAAGATTAATTTTCAAGGGAAATGGGAATTTGGCTTTCTCAAAGCTGACAACCTCACACCTACAGCCTGAGTTCCTCCTCAGCCTCCCCCCTGGCTTCAGCACACACTGGCGCATTGCAATACGAACTGAGGGATTCTGGGGAAGTCCAGATGGGGAGAGTCTGTGACAGGGGATGAGAGCAATAGACAGGGACAACAAACATCCCACAGGGTCTGCTCGGACTATCAACGCATCGTACGAGCGGAAAGGGAAGGCCCTGCTGGCGATATGAAGGAATGGCCATTTTCTTCAAAGGACAAAGTTCTCTATATGTTTGAATATAGGATAAAATTGTACACGGGTGTCTGGACTTGTGGATGTGTAGAAATCAGCTGATTCTCTGAACTAATGATATGTATGTGAAAGTCATTTGAAATCCATAAAAAATTATCTCCATATGTTAAGGGAGTTACCGTAGATAGTATCCACCTGGAAGCAAGAAAAACTTGATGTGGAGATTTATTGGGCTTTTTTAAAAGCTAATTTAAAAATATGTCAGTAACTGTAAGAAAAGGCTCAAGCTAGCTGAGAGAGTTAAACGACTGAAAGTGCTTATTAATTTTATTCCTTTTAATGTGGTGCTTGTTCACCACGTCAGTGCATGGGTTCTATCACTCAGCTTCGGACATCAATGTAACAAGCCGTTTCTCTCAGGACTCTGGCCACGTTACAGGTCGACTGGTTTTCCCTTTTTAAAAGGAGTGTGGGTGGGTGTGAATGTACGTCTATACTTACATACTACAAATATGTTTGCATATGTATGTACCTGTATCCACATACTATACATACATCTGTATATGTGTGCCTCCTTCCCCGTTTTTGCGTTTAATTTTCCTCCATTGCCTTGCAATGGTTTGACATCATCTATATCTTACTGCTGATTTGTTAAGTTTCTGTGTCTTCACTGAACTGTAAACTTCATGAAGGTACAGGGTCTGTCTGTGTTCACAGCTGTATCCCCAGTACCCAGCTAGGAGATCATCTGGTATTCAGTAAATGTCTCTTGATCAGTAAAATGTGTGTGAGGTTAACAATAATCCCGTGGCTATATTATACAAATGGGGTGAAGAAAAGGCCAGGAAGATAGCCCCTCAAATTTTTTCAGATCTCAAAGTTATTATAATAGACATGAGACACGGGCCCAATCCAAGAAGCCCATGTGAATAGAAAAGAGCACTCACAAATGTGCCCAGGCTGTAACAGAAGGTGAGGTGAAGTTAGATTAAGGGCCTTACCTTTCCTGGGCACCTCTGGCTGTTGAGGGACCAGGCAGATGTCATTTTTCAAGATAAGTGGCTGAATGTAGGCGGGTGACAGATGACCCTTCTGGATGGCGTAGGCGATCAGGCCCCCTGCGGCTGATAGGGCAGCGGGACTGGGACTACTTCCTGAAGGAGGATGGCATGGAGCACACAGCTGTTAGTAAGGAACTCGGGCTTGGTCTAGACCAGTGGTTCGCCACCTTCCTCATGCCGCCACCCTTTCACCCAGTTCCTCATGTTGTGGTGACCCCCAGCCATGACATTATTTTTGTTGCTACTTCCTAACTGTCATTTTGTACTGTTATGAATCAGACAACCCCCGTGAAAGGGTCGGTCCACCCCCAAAGGGGTCGTGACCCACAGGTTGAGAACCGCTGGTCTAGACACAGGAAGGAAGGATTTGATGACCGTAAGTATTAGCTAGGAAGAGAGGAAGTTGGACAGAGCAGGGCCGAAGACCTAAGAGGTAAGGAACTACTTGGACAGAGCCCTCAGCAGCTGAATTTAGAGATCACTTCCAAGAGTCAAACTAAGACTCTATCTAATCCGTGTCCAGGCAGATGGGCTGGGAAGCAGGTGGACATTTTAGCATTTAGTAAGTAGTTCTCATAAACCCATATATGGCAAGATGTAGTCATATATATATATCCATGTATATACATATGTGTATCTGTAGATATACTCATATATACTCACTTAATTCTCACAGGAAACCTCTGTGGTAAATGTTATTACTAGCCTCAATTGGCAGATCCCAGGATACTGAGGGTACCTCTCAACTCCATCCCTGCTTGTACACTCTTCTCTGGTTTCCCGGACACTTACAAACTACATCTTTTCAACACCCTATCCTCTTGATTTCTGACTGGGGTCTACCAGCCAACAATGATATAGGTCAACAAACAAAGTCAGAGTGTGGAGCAAGAGACTGTAGACACCTCTCTGGCAAAGGATGAGCCAGGGATAGCCATTACCTATCTGACTGCCAAAAAAGGCAATGCCCAGCGAGAGATTGTTGTAGACTTGGGTGTGCAAGCCTTGGATGTTCCAGCCAACACCTTCGTACACCATGCCATCATCCCCAACCAGGAAGCTGCCAAGCAAGAAAACATGGTTTTGATGGCTAATCCTTGTAACTGGAGTCAAATGTGTGACTCTCAAGGATCCAAAAGCATTAGTTCAGTGCTTTTCAAGGGCTTGAAAATTAGGCAGCATGACCTTGACTCACAGGACCAAACATGTGAAGATTCTTTAAAGCAATTGACCAGAATTCAGAAATTCCTTTAGTATCGACTTTCCTTTCCTTCTTAGGAATCCCCTAAAGCTTTTCTTTACCACGGGAATTTGTTTACAATCTTCCTTTTCGTCAGTTTTTCTATTTAAACTTATTTATTCAAAACAGTGGCTTCTGAGGGAACCTGCTGGGCCAGTTAAAGTCCAGGCGAGAAGTCCGATCAGAAGGTGCTGCTGCCGGTTTGGGAGATTCCGAAAGGATCATCGTGATGGACTTTTCTCAGGGGACACAGCATGATCTTGAGGAATTATTAGGAGGATGGGAGAAAATGGAAAACTGTATCAGTGAGGAAAAGGCCAGGAAACGTGCCCTGAAAAGTGTTGTCCTATCACACTCTGCTCATTCTTCGAGGTGAGCAAGAGCTCACCTAGGGGAACCTCAGCCCAGCTACACAGCAGCCCCTTCCAACTTTTTTGTGGTTTCCCAAACGCAAAGAACATTGTAAAGGAACACAATGTGAGTCCCTTATAGTTTACAACGCTGCTCGTTTGAAGCAGTGTAACTTGAAGCAACCACACCTTCTCTGTGCCCCTAGCATCCTGCCCATAGCGTTGCTGCCCCAGACTCAAGCCCCCTCTACAGAGTCGCCAAGGCCTTGTTACGAGATCATCTAACCCCATCTTTTTCCAGTGGAGCGGCTGAAGGTTTGAACCACGGACCCGCGAGTAGCCGAGCAATGCTTCCCCACCAGTGCCACCAGGCTCGGAGAACTCACAGTGCTCCAGGAATAAGGAGCTCCACCCTGAGCCCTCATGGCATGGCAGGTTACCCAATATGCTGCTCACCACAAGGTCAGTAGTTCAAACCCACCATTTCTTTGGGAAAAGTTGAGGTTTTCTGTTCCCATAAAGAGTTCAGCCTCAGAAAGCTAAAGGGCTAGTTCTGCCCCGTGCCATGGTCCTCAGGATGGGGCAGAAAGGACTCCCCGCAGTGAGCCAGGGTCCACAAGCACTACCTGAATGAATGACTTACAGCCATCTCACTGCAGCCTGACTTCCACAGGACTTAGCCTTTCTTTCTTCATTATTTCTTTGTTTGCTTAGAGCGATTTGTATTTGTTATCAATGCAGTGTACACAATACTCAAGAAATGGGAGAAGTTGGGGAGAGATGGGAAAAGGAGAGCTTTATATTGTGTGGTTGAACGTGGGTATCTGCCCTGAGCATTATTAGCAGGAGGCCACCATTGGTCATCCAAGGGCGGGGGTAAGTTTGAATGTGGACTTAGGACCGATGGGCCTCTTTCTTACTTGTAGGGCACGTCACACAAGTCTCTGGAGTAGACAAAATGGGACTGTAGGCCCCGAAGCTTCCAGGTGCAAACCTTCTGCCCCTGGCACTCCATCCCCGTGAGCTGCTCCGTGATGACATAGGCCGCGGGCTGAGTCAACTGGGCCTTGCAGGTGAGCGTTCTTGCCCCCCACTCCTTGCGGGAAACAATGGTGGGAACGTCTGTAGAGAGAACCCAGAATGGCTCCTGTCCTGCCCAGCAGACTGCCCACACTGCTCCGACTACTCTCTCCCCCGGGCACTGCCTACTCTGCTATGGTAGAGACACCCCCAACGTGGCTTTCACCACCCACCTCCTCCCTGTCTAATGTCAGCTCAGCAATTCTCTCTTCATTCTGGGGAATCAAGTTGGCTTGTTCTCCAGCTGTTTCTCTGCATTTCCCTAGAGGGCAAATCCCAGCCTCAGCTCTCTCTACTCTGCTTCCGGTTCCACCCCAGACAGTCCCTCCATCTGACACCACCCCAGTCTGCCTTTTCTTTCTTTTTTTTTAAGAACCGTTTTGTCGGCGTATAATTTATGTACCATATAAGTCAATGGTTTTAAATATATTGATAAGATTTATGCAATCATCACCACAATCAAGTTTAGAACATTTCCCTCATTCTTGTACCTATTATTATTAACTCCTACTACCCACCAACCTCCCCTGCCATAACCCTAAAGAACTATGAATCTAGTTCCTGTCTCTGTAGATTTACCTAGCCAGGATTTCTTATAAAGAAAACTGAAAACAAAAATCCTTGACAATAAAATACAACACTGACACACCTCGATCTAGGTGAAAGAAGATGAGAAAGGAGAACAAATTTAAAATGAGTCAAATAATACTGTGTTAAATTTTAGCCATTTTCTGGAATAATCCGCTTTTTAAGGCACTCTGTCTGAGGGCAAGACTAGTCGCATCCTTGGTCGTAGGGGAGTGAGCTCAGTGGAGGCTCAATCCACATGGAGATGCTGCAAATGGACATTGCGCTTTCACTGCCACCCATAGCCTCTGCAAGTCGAGTATTGAACTTCCTTTTCTTGACACACGTTAGCACCGACACGTTTTCTCGGGGCCATTGATCCCAGGTCTCTGACCCTGTCTTGAGTCCTGCCCTCCCCTTCAAAGGGTGACCCTCGGGGGAAAGCGGCCCTCACTCCCTCCCCCACCTGGGAGCTCCCGTGCCCAGAACCACAGGGTTCCATGCATGTGCACAGGGTATGAACCTCGCTCTCTTCCAGAGGGAACGCAGGAGGCACAAGTCTGTGGGGTCCCACCCAGCACGGCCGCCTCCCTAGAGGGGCAGGGACAAGAAGTGTCGGAGGAGGGTGATGGCGCAGTCTCCACGTTCACGCTGGGGACTGAGCAGTAGGATACACGGGTTTTTGTGTTTGTGTGTGGTATTGCTTGTTTGTTTGTTTCCTTCCTGGGACGCCACTTTACCTCAAGACAGTCCATGGGAGTAGTTGGCTGATGCACCTCTGGGGATCCAGCCTATCACTCATAAAGAAATCCTCAGAAACAGTCTGGCCACCTATGGAACTCCAGCCAATCAATGGCTAACCCTTCTCACCATGGCGCATCATTCGAACGAGCTGTGAGATCTGGGAGAACAGGTCCAGAAGTGTCTCTGACAAGTCTCTGGTTTGTGTTTCATTCCAAATCTGGGGAGAATCATCTGCAAAGGAACATCCTGCTTAGTGGCGGTCCTTGGCCAGTGTCTGCAGCAGCATCGCTCGAAGCATCGGCTAGATACCCCACTCCACCATTCACAGGCCCCCTGCCTCCCCAAGTGCTCTGGTTTCCTCTAGCATGCAACACGAAGTTGACCAAAGGAGAACCCCACATGTCTCTGGCTTCAGCATGCCTCTCCCTCCCACCTCGACCCCAATGAGACCTTCATCCCCCCACCCCCTCCAACCTCTAACCTTCTTTCCACTCTCGGTGTAAGCTACTCTGCCTTCTCACCTGCCCCCTTATGAATAGAAAAGCTTCATGGGTACCCGTCAGAGTGTCAGGTACTGAGACAGTCACTAACATTTTGAGTAGACACTGAATCTCATACATGTATTAAGCACCTATAGATGCCAGGCAATGTTCGTGAAATATGGAAACCTGCCAATTATTGTGACCACCCTCACAAAGGCAACAATACCGTATAGTTGCCTAGATACGTTATATAAGAAATATTGAGGATTATGCCTCCGCTGCATGTCCCCATCCTCTCCTGCTCCTGCTCAGTGCTGGACATCAGAGGAGTAATAACCATCAACCCCATGGCCAGCCTTGGGTCACACAGGCCAGCTCTACAGTGTATAAAGCACTTCCAATGTCACTACCAGATTTTCAACTTCGAACAATCTTATAAGATAAGCGAGAGACAAGAACTACCCCGTTTATATCAGCACTGAGTCATTGGATGGAAAACAAAACAAAAAAGTTCTCAACTACTAACCTAAAGGTTGGCAGTTCAAACCCACCCACAGGCACCTTGAAAAAATGACCTGGAAACCTGCTTCTGAAAGGCCCCAGCCTCTGCTATGCACACACAGACACCATGAGACGAGATCCACTCCAGGGCAGCCACTTTGGTCTTTGGGAAGGGGTAGGAAAGGCCTGGGTGTAGCATTGCCTGGGCTCCTCTGACATCACAAGGCAGAAGGAGCATTAAATCAAAATCAGAATCAGTCCAAAGCCAAATCCTGGGAGGCAGGGGTCCAACATGCCCCGCCCCTCCAAACGTCTTACCAGTTGTGGCACCTGCTATCCCTCCCATGTCGCCCCTTTTTCTGCGGGGCTCTATAATTCATTGCAGTGGCCACACACAATTCACAAATCATACACACAATTAAGGGGTTCATTGGGGAACTTAACCAGTTATAATTCAGGGTCACAAATGCGCAGCACACAGCTCTCCTCAGCCATGAACATCACCATGCTTCCCTCTGGCCCTTGACCTCTCAGCCCATAGCCCCTTGGCCCCGGTCCTGCTCAGGCAATGTTGCAAAGCTCTTTGAACACAGCCATTCAATAGCCAAAGAACGTGCCACTCCCCCAGAAGCTTCAGCCAGAAGACACTCAGCTCCAGCTGCATGAACCAGCAAACCTTGCTCCCCAATTAAGTGTTTAGAGGCAACTCATTCTGCAAGCAAGTCTGCTACCCAAAAGCACTCAGTGTCACTTGTTCTGGGGGGCAGAAACACCCCCATTCTGTCTGGTGCCCTAGCTTGTGGCCCTGCTCCTGCTGCTCCTGCTGCTCCTGCTGCTCCTGCTGCTCCTGCTGCTCCTCCGTCACTTCTCTGCTGCTTCTCTGGTGCCACAGCTTTATGTCCCTGGATCAATGTGTAGGAATCTCAGGACCCAAACAACTGCTCCACTCCTGGCCCTTCTTTTTAACTTGTCCTTTTTCATTTTTTTGAAAACATTTTATTAGGGGCTCATACAACTGTTATCTCAATCCATACACACATCAATTGTGTAAAGCACATTTGTACATCATTCTCAAAACATTTTCTCTCCACTTAAACCCCCGACATTAGGTCCTCATT